ATAAATGAAAGAATATACTGTGGTCATGGATAGGAAGACTGAACATTGTAAAAATGTCAATTCTACCCAAAGCAATCTATACATTCAATGCAATCCCAAACCAGATCCCATCAGCATTCCTTCAGGATATGGAAAAACCATTCACTAACTTTATATGGAAAGGAAAGAGACATCAGATAAGCAAAGCCTTATTGAACAAGAAGAAGAAATTAGGAAGTCTCACACTCCCAGATCTTAAAACCTACTATAAAACAATAGTAGTCAAAACTGCCTGGTTTGGTACAACAACAGACACATAGACCAATGGAATAGAATTGAGAAACCAGAAATAGATCCATTGACCTATAGTCAGCTGATCTTTGACAAAAGGCCGAAATCCATGAAAAGGGGAAGAGATTGTCTGTTTATCAAATAGTGTGGGCATAACTAGATATCCATTTGCAGAAAAATGAAACAAGATCTGTACCTCACACCATACATAAAAACTAACTGAAGATAGATCAAAGATTTAAAGGTGAAACCTAAAACTATAAAGTTCCTCAAAGAAAAAATAGGGGCAAATTTAGGGGGCATAAATAGCCTATCAAGCATAACCCAAAACATACAAACAGCAGAAGATAAACTAGATGAATGGGACCTTCTAAAAATTAAATTTTCATGTGTTTCCAATGACTTCCCCAAAAGAGTTAATACAGAACCTACACATTGGGGAAAAATATTCAACAATGACATATCTGACAACAAAAAGACAAATAATCCAATTAAAAAATGGGCAGAAGATGTGACTAGACATGTCACCAAAGAGGATATTCAGGTACTTAACAAACATATGAAGAAATGCTCAGGATTACTAGCCATTAGAGAGACACAAATCAAAACAACAATGAGATACCATCTTGCCCCAATACTGATAGCAAAGTTCAACAAGACAGAAAATAACAAACATGGACGAGTATGCGGAGAGATTGGGGCTCTCATACACTGCTAGTGGAACTGTAAAATGATACAATCACTGTGGAAAGCAGTATGGAGATTCCTTAAAAAGTTAGAATTAGAAATATCATTTGACCCAGCCATTGCATTACTAGGTATAAAGAAGTGAGAGCCAGGACGAGAACAGATACATGCACGCTCATATTCATCACAGCAATATTTACAACAGCAAAACGATGGAAACAGCATTGGTGTCCATCAACAGAAGAATGGATAACTAAACTATGATACATACACACAGTGGTATACTATGCAACCCTAAAAAATTACATAGAATCTGCAAAACACCACATAACATGGATGAACGTTGAGAACATTATGCTGAGTGAAATGCGTCAATCACAGAAGGACAAATATTGTATTAGTACATTATTACAAAAAGTGAAGGGAAGGTTTACATATGGAAGGAAATTTTCTTTGTTGGTTACCAGGTATGGGAAGGGTCGGGAGGGAACACTGTTAGATAGGTAGGGACAAATATTGATTTGGGTAAAGAGAAGGGCAATGTACCAAATGTGAGTGATCAACACGGTGGCATTGAGGAAGAGGAAGACATAGAGAGGTGCACGGGAGGTACAGACAACAAAGATGAACCCTTTCACACATGCAGTACTGCACTGTCAGTGAAGGCAAACATTGATACATGGGTGTATCACTGATATACGAGTGGACAGGGTGAACTATTAAGTATGTCTATGCAGGGGGGAGTGTGCCCATGACCATGTGTAGGGATGGCAGATAATGTTTCTACAAGTATATTTGTATGTTCTGTAAGAATTTCAAGATATATAGTAGAGTTGATAAGGGGAATGGTTGCAGTCACTTTTTGGCCACAGCCAGCTACCCCAAAGGAGCAAGCAGTTGGACCTGTGGGCTCGGGACCATAGTATCAGGGGAAATCAAGCTCAATTGGCATAACATACTATACAAAAACATTGTTCTACATCCTACTTTGGCCAGTAGTGACTGGGATCTTAAAAGCTTGCAAGTGGCCATCTAGATGAAACAATGGGTCTCTATAGTCCAGAGCAAAGAATAAAGAAAACCAAAGATACATGGAAACAATTAGTCCCAGCGACTGGTATACCATATGATCTTCAGTCTTTATGACTGTGAGACAAGAAGAACTAGACGGTACTTGACTACTATGTCAACCATTTGGAAGGGATCTATGTAGGAGATCTTGGATATAGTGGAAGAACAATGTGGAACAAAACTCAAAATCATAAATGTAGCTGGGGGAAACCCTGAGACTATGGCCCCTAGTTCCTCTTCAGGCCTGGAACTGAACTCACTCCTGTGGTTTCCAGCCAAACAAAAAACAGGGAAATGAGCTGAACATTTATATTAGGTAGATGCACTCCTTGGAAACACCAATCATGGGGGAATAGAAGGGCTGTGTATGCACAGGGAGACAGCTCAGGGGGCAGGAGTGCATGGAGGGAAGGACACAGGGAAGAAGTAACCATGGAAAGGAAGTGAAAGGGGAGCTGCTGCACTGTAGTAAATTGTAGCCAATGTCATGAGACAAAAGTGTATATGAGCTGCTGTATGGAAAGTGAATTTGCTCTGTAAACTTTCACCGAAATCACAATAAAAATTTTTTTTTAAAAGTTACATATGGAATTTAGTGAAATGGAGGTTGATGAAGTCTTCCCAAGAGAAATTTCCAGAGAAAAGAGGAAAGAAACTAAGATGCAAGACATAAAAGATTAAGTTCAAGGTATGGAAATGAAAGTGAATACGACTAATTCTTCTAAGACATTTGGCTATAAACAAAAAGAGAAAAACACGTTGGCAGTGAGAAGGTGGTAAGGTGTTATCTTTCTTTACTGATGGGAGACACACATATTTCTTTTCCACTAAACTTTTAAGCACCATGACAACACGGATCCTCTCTCCTCACTAGCACATCTCTCCTACCTAGCACAGTGATCAATAAATTTGTTGATTCACTGGATATTTTCAATGGATATGCGTAATGGAAAGGAACTAAAAATGAGCTTAAGACACAAATGAAAGAAAATATTAACACTAAAGACTATAGCCTCTGAAGGATGTAAGAGATACATTCAGAACATAAAGGAAGGACTTGGGTTGAGAAAGTATGTGAATCACCTCTTTCTTGTAACAAAAGAGAAGAAAAAAGAAAACTGGATAAATATAGACAAAAATAAATATAGACCCTGGGCAAGAAGCTGAGGATATTTACTAACCAGGGACCAAAGTTGCTAACTACCCCATAATGCATGAAATAATCCTGCACAATGAAGAACTGTCCATAATACCAACAGTAACTTATTTATTTTTAACTTTTTCTTGTGATTTGGTTGAAAATTTACAGAGCAATTTCATTATCCATTCAACAGTTCATATAGATTTTGTTTCATGACACTGATTGCAATCCCCACAATGTAAACAACTCTCTTCCCACTGCCTCCCTGTGGTTACCTTTTCCCTATGTCCTTTACTACGCATTCCTGTCTACTGACCTCCTCCCTGCATAAATGCTGGCCTTGTGGTTTCCCATTCTTGGTTATCCTATCGTGTGTACCTTCCTGGTGTAACTGTTTACTTTGTAGGCCTGTCTACTGGTTTGGCTGAAAGTTAAGCCATGGGAATGAGTTCAATCCAGGCCCAAAGGGTGAGCAGAAGCCATAGTTTCTAGGGGATTACCAGCCTCCATCAGACCAGTAAGCCTGTTTGTTTGTTGATGATTTTAGTTTTGTTCTACATTTTTCTCCCACTCTATCTAGGATCTCCAATTATGATACCTTTCCACCAAGTGGTTGGCATTGGTAGATAGGCACCATCTAGTACTTCTGGTCTCAGGGTCATATAGGCTGACAATCTATTACTCCTTTGAGCTGTTTCCATGAATATTTGTTTTTTTTGTTTTTACTCTTCTTTGCTCCAGATGAGGAGACACCAATAATTACATCTTCGATGGCTGCTTTCAAGCTTTTAAGACCCCAGTCCTATTCACTAAAGTAGGATGTAAAATAATGTTTTGTGTACTACGCTGTGTTAAGAGAGCTTGATGTCCATGATCATGGTCCTGAGGCCACAGGTCCAGCAATTCACTCCCTCAAGGAGTTTGATTATAGCTTAGACGTTATCATAACTTTGCCCCCTATTAGTTCAACAGTAATGCTTCCTAAAAAACACTGATATGAACAGTTCTTATATTCTAACTCAAATCACAAGTTTAAATGTTTACACACCAAACCAAAACCCAAACTTACTGCTGCTGAGTTATTTCCAACTCATAGCAACCCCTCCTTGGGTTTCTGAGGCGATATTTCTATAGAAGTAGGTTGCCTAATCTCCCTTCTGAGGAGCGGCTGGTGGGTTTGAACTTCCAGCCTTCTGATTAGTGGTCAAATGACTTAGGCACTACACCACCAGAGTTCCCAAATTCTTACATAGGGATTTTCTTTGAACGATCAAAATGAATGATTTTTCCAGGGCAGGGGGGTGGGGGGTAAGGGGTAGATGGTAAAGACACTTCAATTTCTATTATTTCTTTCTCAGAAGCCTTACGATGTAGAAGCCACTTGCTAGTTAAGGGTTTCATATTTGGACCCACAGTCATCCATAGCCATGGCACTTTTCAACAGAGACATGAATGTACTCTATAGGTATGCATATGAAGAAACAGTCAATGTGAAAATATGGTGAACATCATGTTTAAAACACTAAATATACATTGACATTAAAGGGAAATTCAGAAATCTGAGAGCACGTTTTTAAAATACCAGGTTGTTTCCTAAAAAAATATGAGTTAATACTAAATCATTAAATAAAATGCTAAAGTGGCTTCTCATTTTTTAAAACTTATGCTATTTAAAATAACCCAAGTATAAGCAATATTGATTGTGTTAGCCTACACATGTATCTTAAAAAATAATAATAATAATAATAATCGTATTTTATCTTACACTTTCAACAAAATGTTTCACTTGAAGTCACATAGTATAAAGATCATAGTAAAATTAGTTCCTCACCTTGACTACCCCATCAAAGCCAGGGATTGTATTGACCTTTGCTTTCTTAGCTAACAATTTGCTTTCAATCTTGTCACCCATGGCTTGTATAGCATGTGTGTCAGGTCCAATGAAAATGACATCTTCTGCTGCCTGTGGAGAAATAAAAGTTTAAATTTTCACAAAATATATTACAGAGTTTGACATGAAGTCACAATTTCATAAAAAGAAAAATCTACACATATACTTATTAATTATTTATATAGAAAAACAACTCAAATCTAAGCATTTGAGCCAATATATTAAAGTACATATACTGTATTACATACAGTGAGCCATGGTAATACTTATGACTACCTAAAGAGCCCAGGTTTTGGTTTCTAACACCATTCTCTACTGAAAGAAAATAAAATTTCCCCACAGAAAAGGCCAGACCCAGGTTTGGTGCAAAGTTAGCACACATCACATGAACAAAGTTTTCAAAATTAATATAGTTATGTCCAAAGCACAGAATAGAAGATAAAAAAGGATACTCACTGAATATGATGGTAATAATATGATCATCAAAAATAATAATGGGGGTATTATGAGATTAACTCATATTTTGAAGACCTCAAAATAAAGTTTATCTTGACATCTCTGTTCAAATATTTGAACTCCTTCGATAAATGTCAATGATTTTTAAAAATATATAGCATTTTAAAAAACAATATAGAAGAACACTAATTTCACATTAAAATGAGCAAAAGAATACACCAAGGTAAAATCCAACGTTATTGCAAGGAAAAATAAGGAACAAAGTAATATCCACAGAAAGACATGCCAATATAACAGATCAAAACTGTGCTTACTGTTTCAAAACAGGCTAAAATACATTAAGATAACAATACAAAACATGAAATAACATAGTCAGCATTAGAAGACCTCAGAAATGAGGTGAGAAAACTCGGGACAGAATGAGAAAAGAAAAAAAAAAATCATTTCAGAAATGAAGACTACACTAGAAGGAATATAAGACTGAATAAAGAAAACAGTCAATATCTTAAGAGAAATAAGATGGTGAAAAGAATTTTTGAAATTTAAATATTTGAAAAATAAAGAACGTT